ATGCTGACAAACTGAACGGATCCGATGGGTGGTCCGAAGCTTAATAATTCATAATAAATTGCTAGATCTGTTTTGTGAAAACCCAAATAAAAATTTTTATTAAAAAAAAAAAATTGCTAGATCTGTCTGGGCTTAAAAAGGATTCTCTTGGGAAGAGCAAAATAGGAGAGGAGGAGATAAATAATTACAGCTGGAGGCCAGTGACGAACCGAACGTCTTTAAAAAAAAAAAACACCACAGAGTTTGTTAAAGTAACAAAATAATAAAAAAAGAATGTTAAAAAGTGGAGAAGGGGGAAATGAATTCAAATCCTAATTTGATGCAGCCAGGCGGCTGTAAACACGAAGGCTTCTAATCTCCTTTTTCGTTTGCAGGAAATAAAGACACCCCCCAAATGTTTCTCCAAGGGGATGTTGGAATTTTTCTGCAAAATGACCCCCCAAAAAAGGCTCTTCAACCCCATACTTATCCAGTCCTTATCAGCGGAGGCACAGAGCCCTTGACCTTTCCCCACTGACCTCTGCAGTCGGTAAACATCCCATAATAATCCCGTGGAAGAGAAAAGTTTGAAGGGATGAGGCTCTGGACTTCGGGCACCAATGCTGGCCTTTTATTTTCAACATGTTTCCTTCCAGCTGGCTGAGTTTAAGAGGCACAGCCGGCCTTTCGGTCAGGACGGAACCAAAATAATCCTTCGAGTCAGGCTTTATATCCGTGATGGCGAACCTAGGGCACAGGCGGCACGCGGAGCCATTTGTGCGGGCATGCAAGCTCCAGCCAAACTTACCTGCACTGCGCATGCACACGCCTCCCAGGTGATTTTTGGCCCGTTTGAGGCCGTTTTCGCCCTCCCGGAAGCTTGAGGGAAGCCTCTGCAGCCTCGGGGGGCCGAAAAACGGGCCTTCTGGAAATACCAGAAGTGCCGAAACGGGCCCGTTTTTCGGCCTCCCGGGGCTTCGGAGGCTTTCCTCAAACCTCCGGGAGGGCGAAAACGGCCTCAAATGGGCCGAAAATCAGCTGGGAGGTGCGCGCCTGCACAGTGGAGGTAAGGGGGGGTGAGGCGGGGATGTTGCGTGCGCATGTGCAGGGGAGGCAGGCTGCACTGCATTGTGGGTGCTGGTGTGCATGCGCTTTCGTGCTTTCGGCACACCACAACAAAGAGGTTCGCCATCCCTGCTTTATATAAACGCGGGTGGTGGTAGTACAGCTCGTCCTCGACTTACGACCACAACCGGGTCCCCACATTTCTC